TAACATTCTAAACGTGTTACGTGTACAGTAACTTTTATTTTGTATTAAAATGACGTAAATATATATTGTTTAAAATTTCCAACATAATATACGTATTATGCTATTACACACTACCAGAACTAGCCATCTTCCTCAATGTGGTCTATTAAAAGTTGTGTTTTGCAGTTCTGTTGCATGGTCTATCGTATGCCAATGCCATGTGGCTAAAATTGCAATGCCACCTCGAATCAGTCGAATGCCACCCTAAAAATTATGTTAAAATATTCAAAAATATGCAGAATAACTTACCAGTAACCTCTGATAAACTTTACTAGTTTCTTTAGACCCTTTGGACTGATCAAATGCAACCTGAATTGCTTCATTGCACCACAGATTAAGCAGGGTTTTTGTTGCTTCGTTGCTCCATACTTTCCCTCTGTTTCTCTTGACGGCGGCCATTTTGCTTAATACTAATTCTCGCGAAATATTTCGCGCCACCGAAAAGTGCTGAAATAGCAAAATTTCGGGCACGGTGCCGCTTATTTGGCGGGCCGAGACTACCTCAAGAGATGGTCTCGGCCCGCCAAAAATTTTAGGTACGCGTACCGCAATCGGACAGGCCCGGTGCCGTTTACACGACAAAAATCAAGAGTGCCGTGCCCACAGAAATGGGTCCGCGTGCCAAAATTTAAGCGTGCCGTGCCCAAAATGACTGTCGTGTAAACGGGGCTTAAACGTGACAAAAATCGGCACCGGTGCCGCAAAATTTAAACGTGCCGAGACCTTCTCACGAGGTAGTCTCGGCACGTCTAGCAAGCGGTGCCGTGCCCAAATGTGTTCGACATCGAGCATGCGCAAAACAAATTGTCCTCTTTCCAACATGGCAGCAAGCGGTGAAAAACTGCAGCTTGCCAAAAATAAAAAAAAACAAAGTTAAAAAACAAATTTAAATAACACAGAATGTGAATGTTGCTCTAGTTGACTCGGAAATTTTGATACCACTGTTCGTCGCTGAATAGAGCAGTAACTAGGTCGTAGCAAATGGCTGTCCTTCGATGCGTTCATACCTCTCGAATTTGTGGCGGGTGAATACAAGATGGCACAACATTTACGCGAGAAAACAATTCCTTTCGTCTTTAAGGGCCTGTTCAAGTGTTCATATGGGCAAAGGTTATCCTGGTTAACGAGAAAACATTTCGACTAGCCAAATACTTTTGTTCTGTTCGCATGGAGAAACGTTATCCCGCTTACCGGGTAAAGTTTCCGGCTGTGGCATCGCACTGAATATCAATTGAATTGAAAAGTTGCTGACACGACAGAAAGTTATCCCGCTAAGCGGTAAAGTTGTGTTCATGCATATGGGAAAAACATCCCGGTCACCGAGATCTGGCTTGTCAACAAGCGAGATCTCGGTACACGGGAAAACTTTTTGTCTCATATGAACGCAGTGTAACTTTTCATATTATTTTCATACCAAGGCAAGATCTCGTTTGTAAACTTGTCGAAAAGTTTTCTCGCTAAGCGGGATAACTTTTCCCCATATGAGCTGGCCCTTAAAGTACTTTTCTAGTATTGAATTGGTTTTTCCCTCGATTTTCGGCTCATATAATACTCTTCTTCGTTCCAATAAATATAAATATATAATTCTATTTCTGTCCGACATCTTTATTCTTTAAAATATACCGTCGTAAACGGAAAGTAGAGGTGCCGTTTTCCGATGGGCACGGTGCTTATCGTAAAAGTGTGTTTACAAAAAGTTGTCGTGTAAACGAGTAAATAGCGAAATGGGAGTTTTGGCACGGTGCCCATTTTCAGGGGTGCCGTGCTCAAAACGCTTGTCGTGTAAACCGGCCTATAGTGTCATCAGCATACATAACAAAGGATATAATTTTACTACAGTTTTCAATATCGTTAATATATAACAGGAAAAGTAGTGGCCCAAGAATAGAGCCTTGCGGAACTCCTGTAGATATAATCAATTTGTTTGATTTATGATGACCAAATTTAACAATTTGCATTCTTTCATGTAGGTAGCTTTCAAACCATTTTAGGCAATTTCCTCTTATGCCATAATGTTCAAGTTTTTTTAGGAGAATATCGTGGTTAACTGTGTCAAAAGCCTTAGATAGATCAAGGAAAATACCAATTGTATATTTACCATCATCTATAGCTTTTGAAATTTTGTCAGTTAGTTCAATTATAGCATGTTCAGTTGACCGATTTTTCCTGAAACCATATTGATGTTTAGATAAAATATTATGTTTTTCAATATATGAAATTAGTCTTTTATGCATTATTTTTTCAAGTAGTTTTGAAAAACATGTGAGAACTGAAATTGGTCTGTAATTTTCAAACAGGTATCTTTCATTTGCTTTAAAAATAGGAGTAACGATAGCTATTTTTAGTGATTCCGGGATTACTCCAGTATCAAACGTTAAATTGAAAATATGTGCAAGAGGTTTGCAGATTTCTTGTTTTATAGTTTTTATCATTTTGGCACTTATATTAACATGTCCTGCACTTTTATTTGTATTTAAGTTATCAATCTGAGTCAGTATTTCAAGTTCAGTAACAGGCTCAGCAAACATACTCTCTCTATAGTTTCCTTTGAGATATTTTTCAAATGATACTGTATCATTTTTTCGAATACCTTTTGCCAAATTTGGACCAACATTTACAAAATATTCATTAAATTTGTTAGCAATTACGGTTGGGTCAGAAAAATTAATGTCTGAGTTCTTTTGTTGAAACACGTGAGAAAGTTTTTCCTTCTTTTTATTTCTATTCAGTAGTTTATTTATTGTTTGCCATGTCATTTTACTATTGTTTTTGTATTTAATAAATTGATTTTCAAAGTAATCTTTTTTACTAATTTTAATTAAATGTTTTAATTTATTTTTGTAATTTTTGTAAATAGTTCAGTGTTCTTTTCACTTGGGTTTTTTAGACACTTTTTATAGAGTCTGTTTTTAATTCCAATAGACTTAGAAATACCTTGAGTCATCCAAGGGCTTTTATCGTAATTAATTATATCTCGTTTTTGCCGTTTTACTAAAGGAAAGCTTTTATCAAACGCTTGTATTAGTTTATTATGGAAATTCTTGTATGATTCAGAGGGGTCATTGTCTTCAACAATAATATCCCATGATATATCTTTCACAGAATTAGAAAATAATAGAAGACTGGCATTATTAACTATTCTTTGATGTTGCGAAGTTTCAACTTTAGAACTGTACATTTTCGTTGGGAAAGATGCAATATGAAAAACTGGAAGATGATCTGATATATCACTAAAAACTAATCCATTCTTACTGGATTCAATTTGTTACGTCATTAGTGAATATATTGTCAATTAATGTTGCGGTATGTTCAGTTATCCTAGTTGGTCTTGTAATAAGAGGCAAAAATGATGACGTAAAAAGTTGCTCACTGAATCTATTCGAAAAGTCACAACTTTCAGTTTTTAAGAGGTCAATGTTAAAATCGCCCATTAAGTAAGTTATTTTTTTTGACTTATCAATTTTAGTAAGAATTTTGCTTAAATTCGTTTCAAATATATATTTCAAACTTTCCTTTTGGTGGTCGATAGATCGTGCCAACAACAATATTTTTGCCAACTGTTGTAATTATTTCAACGAAGAGCGATTCAATTATTCCCTCTTCGTTGAAATTAAGGTCAGGACGAAGTTTGAAATTTATATCATCAGAAATAAACATTCCAACTCCTCCGCCTTTTTTATTGTTTACTATTGTTTACCATTGTAAAGCGCTTTAGAATATTACTTCATAGATTTAAGCGCTATATTTAAATACTCAGATTATTATTATTTTATTAATATTACATATGTACATTATTTAAAGTTTTGCGGTGTTATTACGTTCTTGTATACGTCGAGACCGTCTGATTGGCTGTTCCGCGGTTGATCTGATCTCATATATATATATATATATATATATATATATATATATATATATATATATATATGATTCCTATACGGATGAAACAGACTGTTGTGGTTTTTTGAGGTAAAACGAAAAACTATATATATATATATATATATATATATATATATATATATATATATATATATATATATATATATATATATATATATATTGTATATATACACGTGACCTTCGAATTACTAGGTCGACGCTCTACCAACTGAGCTACTGCACGGTCAGACGGATTTAAGACTGGAAATTATGAAACATTTCATAATTTCCAGTCTCAAATCCGTCTGACCGTGTAGCTCAGTTGGTAGAGCGTCGATCTAGTAATTCGAAGGTCGCGGGTTCAAAACCCAGCCGCGGCAGACAACATCTTTCTGCTTGCGCTGGGTATGGAAATTATATAATACACACTCTAGAACATTTTCATCTTAACATATTACAGAGTGTACAATAACACAATTAACATAACACTTGCAGAACTAGTATTGTTCGATGCTGAATTAATATAAACGAGTATGTTTATGACATTCAGTATATATTTCATAATTTCCAGTCTTAAA